CTTGAAAAGGATCCATGACATCAAATGACTTTAGTATTTATGGGTTATACTTACTCATATGTATTGTGTAAATTAAGATAAAAATAAATATTGTCAGGTTAATTTAAAATAATTATAAAACCCATAGTTGATGCCATAAATGCCATTGTGTGTGTGTGTGTATGTGTGTGTGTGTGTGTGTGTGTGTGTGTGTGCGTGCGTGCGCACGCGCGCAGACTTGTATGCATGTACATATACTTGCTGGTCCTGGGGCTTGAACTTTTTTGCTCAAGGTTAGTGTTCTACCACTTGAGCTATAGCTCATCTGCTTTTTGGTGGTTAGTTGGAGATGAGTCTCATTGACTTTCCTGCTTGGGCTGGCTTTGAACTGTGATCCTCGTATCTCAGCCTCCTAGATTGCAGGCTTGAGCCACTGGCAATTTCTTCCTCTTCCTCCTCCTCTTCCTCCTTTCCTCTGTTCTTCTTCCTCCTCCTCTTCTTCCTCATCTTCTTCTTCCTCCTCCTCCTCTTCTTCCTCTTCCTAATGAAAAATAACTATTAAGAGAAAGGCTTAGCCCAATTACACCATTTTACATTTTTGTTTTGCTTCTTTGATGTTTGGCTCAGTAGTTGACAGCTGCATTGATTCTCCTGTCTGTTTCTACACTTTGTACCTGAAGAAAAGTGGCCTTGTCAGACTGGAGATTTCAGCCTCTGAACACAAAGAAGGCAGTGGCATAGAAAAATCAGTAATCCTCAACTTGATAGGCTTGTCTTCTGGGTGAGAGAAGAGAAAAAAATGTCCCAGAATACCTGGTGAAAATTAGTCTCTCGCAAATATTGACTAATCTTGTAGTTTTGTTTATGAGAACAAACCTGCAAAAATACAGATGAATTGCAAGTTCAGAGAAAGAGGGCAGAGGTAGCTGCAGGCAGGCACCGTAATGGGCATTTAGGGCTTTGCAGCTCGTACCTGGAGTACACAGGGAAACGAATGCAGCTCCCACTCTTGCCTTGTTCTTTCACACTTCTCAGTTTCCTGTTTCTCAGAGTGGTAGATTGTAGGCAGTTCCTCTAGGACACATTGTACCAAAGCTTCAGAAAGATGAATCCACTCCCATGCTGCCAGTGTTAAGTAAAGCACATTGGTAATTCTTGTAATGTGGGATTGAACTATAAAAAGACACAAGAAAATATAAATCTGTGTACCATTTGGATTAAGCTTAAATCTACTGCAAGCAATTGCAAAAGCCAAACTTGGAGGATTGGAATCTCTAAATACTTCTTGTGAAAACCCTTTATATATAATTCCCTTCTTTCTGCAGCCTTCCCCACCCCTGCTAAAGAAAGGTGATATACATATATACATATATATATATATATATATACATATATATATATATTTCCTTCTAAATCTGGTCACACGTTGCCACTCTGAATTATCATCCCCAGGTTGGCACAGTCTCAAAGCTGGTCCACTAACGGGTCACTTGGCCCAGTCCCCTGCCATTAGATGCATTTTGATTTTTTTGAACAATCTAAGAGAGCGTCAACAAAATAAAGTGCTAAATAGTCAGAGATTTCCAGTCTTTCTGGACTGGACGCTGTCAGCTGTGGTTTCTCTAAACCACTTGCCTTTAAATTTTAAATTTTATATCCATCTCACGTTTGAGTTTCTCTGAGAGGATGAGCATCCAGGGAACAAGGAGGATGGATGGGAACTTCAAGGTCAATTCATTTTTCCTGGGCCTGTTGGAGACTCAAGGCAGGGAAGCCCATGACAATTTTTAACTCCAAATGAACAGGATCCTCCTTGTCTTTGGAAAGAAAAGACCGTGTATCAGGGAGTTCCTCTACTTCCCCTTCCATCCCCTGGTCACCATCTCAGTTCTGTCCCATTGTCCCTGAGATGATTATACTCAGAAGACTAGGCCTTCATGGCCCCCACTTCTTTCAGACTGTTGGCCCAGACATGCCCCATCTTGGACATGGGGGAGGAAGAGGGAGATTTAAGCAAAAGCCTTCTGTGGCAATTGTGTCACTTCATGGTCTGCTGGAGTTATTGAGGCTGCACTGTGGAGTTTGAGTATCTAATGCTTGCTGTGTCAACACAGGTTGGCTGCAGCCCTTGGATCAGGCTGTAATTCCACAATGTAAAGTATGTGCCCAGCACCTCCCTGCCTGCAGGCGCACAGGAAGACCATCCCCACTGCCTGAGGTTGGGGTGAGGTGCTGAAAGAAAGGAAATGGAATTTCAGTACTGGTATTCCAAAAAGTGTAACTGTTCACAACTACTACTGCGCTTCTGGGGTTTCTATTTCCCGACTAAAGAGAAGCAGAATGGCCAATGTTAAATGTGCCCTTCCCAGGTGTAGCACCTGTGGGCTTGTTAAAGAACCTGCATACAGGCAGCTGTGCAGTTGTGGGGGATGATACAGTTAGAGGAAAAGAGTGTGGTGACTAAGTTCCTCAATTATTTATTGTTTGTGTCAGGAGGAGTTGGTATTCTTAACAAGAATGTGTGGTTTTCTCCTTCTACTCAATTTCTGCTCTATATTTCTCTCCTCTCTGTTTCCAATTACTTTTCTCTAGTCTACTTTTATAACCCCTTTCCATACCCTGAATTTTTTTATTTATATATAACTTACATCCCATTTATTTATAAAAAAAAATATGTGAGTTTGCTCACAATATTGTAAGATATAAATCATGAGTGTGAGGAGAAAATTAAAACAGGCCAGGAAAGTATTACAGCCGGAATGTGAGACGTTTGCTGCAACTGAGCATTGATTGAGATAGAGTTCTTCTGGAGCAAAAGCAGGATGTCAGGTTATAGAGTTTTTATTTTTACTTATTTATTTATTTTGGGTCCAGTTATAGAGCCTGAACTCTGAGCCTGGGCGCTGTCCCTCAGCTCTTCAGCTCAAGGCTAGCGCTCTACCACTTGAGCCACAGCGCCACTTCTAGCTTTTTTCTTTTTGCTTATGTGGTGCTGAGGAATCGAACCAGGGTGTCATGCATGCAAGGCAAGCGAGTTTTTATTTTTTATTTTACTTTATTTCATTTTATTTTTGGTTGGCTGTGGGGCTTGAACTCAGGGCCTTGGCACTATCCTTTGGCTTTTTTGCTCAAGGCAAGTGCTCTACCACTTTGAGCCACAGCTCCACTTCTAGTTTTCTAGTTAGTTAGAGATAAGAATCTCATGGACTTTCCTGTCTGGGCTAGCTTTGAACCACCATCATCAGATCTCAACTTACAAAGTAGCTAGGATTATAGGCATGAGCTGCCAGCACCTTGACTTATAGATTTTTTTTATTTGTTTGTTTTAACAAAGAAGAACAGCTGGACTTTTCTGAGTGTCTGTCATTATACCATCATTTAGTTTATTGAGAATAAAGCTCTATTCTCTTCACCCCCAGAGGACATGGCTTTTCAGGAAACCCAAAGGCCAGATCACAGACAGAGCCATGCTCCAGCTGCTGGATGGATGTTGAACCTTTCAGTATCTTATTGGAGTTGGTCCAGAGCCTGAGAGGAACCACTTAGGAACTGGTCTATCCTCTCATTTTGGAGCCCTGTCCAGGGCCAGAGGAACCTCTGCTAGGTAGTGGAGTGGAACTATCACGTTCACTGAAGTAGCCCAGACTCTGAAAGACAAGTATTGAATATTTTTCCTCACATGAGAAAACTAGACCCTTAAAAGGTAAAAAGGAAAAAAAAAAATGTCACGAGTATAGAAGGGAGGCTGTTTGGGTAGGGGCCGGGGTGGTGAAGGGAGAGTGATTGGTGAAGAATATGATCAAAGTTCATTCTTTATACACATGTATGAAAATAGAACAGTGAGCCTCATTAAAACAAGAGCAGAAGAGCATAAGAAAGTATAGTAGGGCTGAATATGATCAATATGTCTTAGGGGAGATGATCAATGTGCCTTATAGGATATATGGTGCTGTTGCATTGAAACCCTTTTGTGCAATTAATATATTCTAATAAAAATATAAAGGGAGGTGTTGTACTGGGGAATTCCATTACTCTGGAAGGGGTGAAATGATCCTTTTGGAACTAGAACCTCTTCTCATAGAGAGCTCCAGTCCATGCCTGACTCACCTGGTGATGTCAAATGTTGGTAAATGAGCCATTTTGTTTGATGGTCTCCTTAGGGAAAAGGAGTTGCCTTGTGATACTGACTTTTGAAAGAGAATGTTGAAATTGTGTCAGCACAGAATACTTAAAACCAGAAGTTGGAGGCTGTGTTAGCTACCTAATAGCCATGTAAAATCTTTCTGTATATAATACTAGTTGCATATTGAAATGATAATATTTGAAGCTATCAGATTACATAAAATGTTATTAAAATTAATTTTGCTTGTTTTTAATTTTGTGTGTGTGTGCTAGAACTAAGGTTTAAACTCCGGACCTTAGCTTTTTTTTTTTTTTTGGTCAGTTGTGGGGTTTTGTCGGTTGTGGGACCAGGCGCCGTCCCTGAGCTTTCTTGCCCAAGGCTAGCACTCTACCACTTTGAGCCACAGCTCCAAGTCTGGTTTTGGGGTAGTTAATTGGAGATAAGAGTCTCATGGACTTTCCTGCTCAGGCTGGCCTCCAACTATGATTGTCAGATCTCGCTTCTTGAATAGCTTAAGATTACAGGCATGAGCCACCAGTACCCAGCTCTTGCTTACCTTTTTTTTTTTTTCCTTCTCAAGGCTGGTGTTCCACTGCTTGAGACATAGCTCCACCTTCTTCTTCTTTTTTTTTTTTTTGCTGGAGATGAGATTCTTTAATTGGAGATGAGATTCTTAGGGATCTTTCTGTCCAGGCTGGTCTTGAACTGAGATGCTCACTCATATTTAAGCTTTCTGAGTAGCTAGGCATCCAGATGTTAGCCACCAGTGCCCAGCTCTGCCACCAGTGCTCACATGTATTTGTATTTTAAACACCTTGAATTTCAAAAAGCAATCCTTTGCAGTAAATTTCTGCTGAGTCCTCTAACTCCTGTCTCCTCTCTGGTTCTCTTTCAACAGATCTGACTCTACGTAGCATGTCAAGGACTACATTAATCACTACTTCCTTTACTTCCCTCCCACCCCCCCCCCCCACCCCCAATGGTTTCCATTTCTTTTCCATTTGCTTACTCCAGCCATCTGCAGTACACCGGTTTCAGGTGTTTTGAGCTATGTAGAATTTCTGTGTGTACAGATGTGTACTTGGACTTTTCTCTTTCTGAGAAACTGGAAGATGGTTAGTGAAGACCCACTTACTACTATTACCACTGACTCAGCCTCCAGGGCATTGGGTGGTCTCTGGGGGGGTCCCTGGAGCTTGCTCTCTCTGCAGTACACAGTCCCATCGGAGTGCCCTGATGTGCCATTCCCTAGGAGGGAACAACCAAGTGCCGGAGGCCGGTGGCCATCCTCTGCCTCCACTGTCTGGTTTCCTGTAAAATAAACACATTACTTTATATTTTTAGGGAACAAAAAAGTGCTGCTATAGGGTTCAAAATTTTCATTCTGAACACTTTTCCGAAAACAAATTACCCCAGAGGAGCATTTTGAATATCCTGGTTACATCTTGGAATCTGTGATATACACCTTTTAGTATGGCACCTGTTAACAATGCAAAGCAAATTTCTTCAAGGCAGAAAAACAATCCAACAGTAGCAATGCCGAATTTGTTCATTCAAACACAACTATGTAAATGTGAAAAGTCATGAGATTCACCTCTGAGCTACCTGCTACTGAACCTGCAGCAACTAGTCTCTGCTGGCCCTGTTGATTTGAACATCATACCTTCGAGAGTGTTGAAAACTACTGCAAGTTGGATGAGTGGAGATTGGCTGCCCTCCTCCTCGCTTCTTCCCCGATCCTTCCAGAACCTGCATTGGGGATGGCCTCACCATCTTATGCTTGAACAGGTACTGCTAAAACAAAACAAAACAACAAAATATTCAGCATCATTCCAATAGTTGAAAAAGAAAGCTCTTGGGGAAAGTAATTAACAAAATCTGCCTGTCTGTGAATAAGTTGCCATGACATTGTTATTTTAAGTCATCATTTTAGGCTATGTATTTGGATTCTCTCTTTGGCACCAACTAAGATTTGTGTTCTACGCACAATTAGAAGAAATCAGTATAAATGAACTCTTTTTTTTTCTTCCCCCCCTTTTTCTTTCTTATCTATTACTTTATTCAAATACATGGCTCTAAAGCAGACTCCCTTAACTTCCAGTTGTGCATATTAAAAGGATCAATCTCCATGTAGTAAGCTTTGAGGGAAACTGACAGAGCTTCAAGTAAGCTGATCATGTCTGCTGCTATTGTTTTGAAAAAATTGGGAGTAAATCTGTTGACAACACAGCTAACTGCAGTGATATTTCCCATCCTTCATCGTATGTGCCCAAGCAGTGTAAGCTGACACTGTCTCCTGTGGCCGTCCCACTAGAATGATGTGTGTGCTAGGAGAGACTTTGGGCTTTCTTGTGGCCATATGAGGATGGATCAGTGTGTGTGTGTGTGTGTGTGTGTTTGTGTGTGTGTGTGTGTGTGTGTGTGTGTGTGTGTGTCCCTGCGTGTATATGTCCACGTGTGAAGTGCATTGGCTTCTAAAGTTTTTTGGGGTATTTTTTGGTGGTGTTGTTGTTTGTTTTTGCCAGTACCGGGGCTTGAGTTCAGGGCCTGGGTGTTATCCTTAGCTTTTACACTCAAGGCTAACACTCTACCACTTGAGCCACAGCTCTACTTCTGGCTTTTTGCTGGTTAATTGGAGGTAAAAATTTCACAGACTTACGCGCTTGGGCTGGCTTCAAACTGCAATCCACAGACCTCAGTATCTGGTAGCTAGGATTACAGGCATGAGCCACTGGTTCCCAGCCTCAAATTCTTATTGTATAAAATTTTCCTAACAAAGCAATGCTGTTTTGACCTAATTTATTTGTTAAATGTTGCACTTTGTGTTTTGTTTGGTGGGGGAAGAAGAAAGGAAAGGGAAGTAGTTATTTCATTACAATAATGATTTTGCACTCACTCAAAAATTTTTATTTTATTTTATTTTGTTGCCAGTGTCTATCCAACATAACAGCTCAACTCCTATTTGGAGTCTGATAGAAGGGTCCTTGTAGGACAGGTATCACAAACCTTATCAGGTAATAACAGATGCCACAAATTATACACTTGTGTTCATATGTGTGCTTCTGACTGTGGAAGGTGAAACACAAGTCTTTGAGAGGATTGCCAGCTAAATCATCATCATCCATACTACATACTGTTGTCCACTGGGCAACTGTATTACTTGAAAATTGAACAAGAGACTGATTTTCTTAGCTTTCGTGAATATCTATCAAAAGATGGATTATTTTAGATTCTTTCCAAACTAATTTTTCCCTGGGTGCCCTTTTTCTACTTCTGAAGATCACTTGGCCCTTTCATGTTTCAAAAGGAAACATTCATTTGTAGTTCCATATTACTTGATCTCTACAAGGGCCTTACAAAATTCACTTGACTTTTATTCACAGAGAAAGTTAGCTTTGATGTCCTTTAAAGATAATTCGGCTAGTTGCTGATCAGCCAGTCAGTTCACCTAGCTTCAATCTTTATAGGATCTCTGATCTAGTTTTCCTCCACTGTGATTAAAAGGTAGGCACCTCATTGGATTGCATTATGTAGTTATTCAAGTGGACACCTAAATTTCACTTTGTATAATGAGCCAGTTGTTCTATCAGGACCTATTATGTTTAGGTTTAGGCATGTTTTAGGCATTTTACAAAATGGTACACCTATGCAATTTTTTTATTTTTTAGACACGACTGCTTCCTATATTGTAAATGTAAAGCCTCATTTCTGAACCTCCAAGTATATGATTATGTTCTTTTGGTTGTATACTGCTTTTACTAGTGTGTATGTATGTAATTTTTTTCTCTTCTGAACAATTTTCTATTTCATGCTACTTCTGGGAAGTTTACTCTTTGGTGCTGTCAGAGAATAATTGGATGATTTGTGCAAATAATCTCTCCCTGCAGGATGATGTGTTGCTAATTTAAGAGAATACTGTTTGAGATGCAAGATTTACGGTTAGAACTTGAAATACATTAATGCCAGCTGAGTTTTTGGTCAATTACTTAAAGAATTCTGTATGCAAATTATCTTTTCTTCAAATGCTGTACAGTTTGCTTTTATTGAATGTCAGGTAGTAGAGACAGAACAATAAGAGTAGTTAAGATTTTAAAGGAAATAGTATCATATGATTAACAAAATATGAATTTGTAGAAATATGGGGATAAATAAAAAAATGTTTGTCTAAAATATAGTATCTAGTGACTTTTTGAAGCCCTTGAGTTCACATAAGCAAGTGAGACTCTAAGACAAGAATCATGCCTCAGCAGGATCCAAGGGGAACTTACCAGTTCCACCTTCCTGGAGGAATAACCAAACATAAATAAATGCTTGTAATGATCTTCTCTTGAAGTGCTCAGTTCAGCAGGGCTGGCGCCATTGGGACTCTTAACTAGAAGACATATTGGAAAGTTCTTCATTGGCAGAATGTATGGGATGGTTTTTCTTCATTATCTCACCATTGTGTCATCACAATTATCTCGAATAAGCTAAAGATTCTACCCTACTATAAAACAACTTCAGTTAACACTAACAATTTAGACATTTTTAAAATTAAAAAAGGTATTAAATACCTTCAAGCAATTGCTGAAGGAGTCACCAAACCATGAAGTTGGCTTACTTACAATGAGTCTATCAGTTTTAAAGACTTTCCACGGTGTGCAGCCATGGGGGTGGGGAGGGTGGGGAAAAGGCATCCTGTAGCATTACGTGTGTCTTGTTTGTAAAGTGTGATGTGTACTGCAGATGTGTGTTCTCTGGGCTTTATGTATCTGTACAGTAGTTTTCATTTTTAAAAAGTTGTGCACAAACTTGTTCCTGTGGTCTGAGGGGGAGAATGGAGAACCGGTGCAGTACGAGAGTACGTGTCTCAAAGGATCTGGAAGTTACCTTCCCCTAGCCCGTGGAAAGTTTTGGTTATCTCTTGGATTCTAAGATGAAGATTTATGGTACTCTGGCAGATTGCATGTTGTATAATTTGAAAAATATTAAAAATGGATAATAAAATTGAATTAAACTTTGGCTGGTCTGTGTTTCCTTATTTGGTCATCCTTCAGGGCCTTTCTTACTCAGGTTGTTAAAGTGGTAGGTGTAAAGGAGCCACACTCTGCCCTGAAAGGATTGCATTTCAACAAGCAGCCACTCTGATGTGCAGCAGGAACAAAGTCAACTTCACTGTTTGCTTTTTTTTTTTTTTTAACTTTGCTTGAATATCTGCTCAATGTTGTTCTTTTCATTGAGTCACTCAAAAAAAAAAATACCTGTTTGTCCTACAACTCTGAACAGATAGCTGCAGATTTTTAAAAAAGTGTCTTATTAGCTCTGTGTGTGTGTGTGTGTGTGTGTGTGTGTGTGTGTGTGTGTGTGTTGCTCATGACCAAATCCAGGACTTTGTGAATGCTAGAGAAAAATTCAATCACTGGGTGATGCCTTCTGCATCCATAACTCAAGCCTATAATCACAGCTACTTCAATGCTGAGAACGTGAGATAGAAGAATTTCTGTTCAAGGTCAGTCAGGACAAAGCATTCAAGAGACCTTGTCTCAATAAAAAGTTGGTTGAAGCAGTGCACATCTGTCACCTGTCATCCCAGCAACACAAGAATCATAAATAGAAGGATCACGATTTAGGCTAGCCTGGGCAAAAAGTAGGACCTGCTCAAAAAATAATGTGAACCAAAAGGGCTGGGAAGCATGACTGAAGGGTAGAGCACCTGCCCAGCAAGAACAAGGCCCTGAGTATTGCAGTCAATAAGTAAAGGAAGGAAAAAGGAAACGGATCCAGAGAAGAAGCTCAATAGATTACTCTATGAGCTAATTTCCTGAATTTCTGCCTGAGAAAACAATTCTTCTAATGGAAGACTAGAGAGCATTGGCATCCTTTTGCTAACCAATTGGAGCCCTGTATGTGCTGAAAGTGTGTTGGCATTTTGAGGGAATGATTGGGCTGTTGGTATTCCTATTTCACTTCTTAGTATAAGGCTACAGATCTGAGACCCATTAGAAGATGGAGACCCTGGAGTTAAAACGTTTGGAAATAAATGGCAGGACAGTGTGTGTGTGTGTGTGTGTGTGTGTGTGTGTGTGTGTGTGTGTTAACTTATTAGATTTCTTTAAAAGACTTACTTTGGGTCACTGAAATCTCATTACCATTCATGGAATTGTGTATGTAAAGATCCTTGTTCTTATTTTTGCTTGTTTGTTTGTTTGTTTGTTTGTTAGGTCTGGTGTGGTTAATGGTAAGAGCCAGCCAGTAAGCCTCTGTATTTTAATCAATTAAATTATTCTCCAAAAACTCAGGAGAACTTGTTAAAGGTAAGCTCCAGTATTCCAATGTGGGTAGGTGAATTCTCAGACTGACAACC